GCAAATGATGCAGGGGAAACTGGACAGCTGCATGGAAATCAGTGAAGTTGGGATACTCCCTCATACCTTACACAAAAATAAAGTCAAACTCGCTTAAGGACTTAAACCTAAGACAAGACACTACACACCTCTCACAAGAACACGTAGGCAAAACATCTGACACACACATCAGCAACGTTCTCCTAGGGCAGTCTACCCCAGCAAACAGACACGAAGACACAAATACACAAACCAATGGGCCAAACTGAATTTATCAGCTTTTCGCACAGCAAAGGAAACCATAAGCAACACAAAAGGACAACCTACGAGATGGGAGAAAATATTCGCAAAAGATGAGACTGACAAGGGGTTAATTTCCAGAATATATAAACAGCTCATACAACACACCTTTTCTCCAATGGAGACATACAAATGACCAATAGGCATATGAAAAAACCCTGAGTATCATTAATTACCAGAGAAATGTAAATCAAAACTACAACGAAGTATATCACCTCACACCAGTCTTTAGAAAGGCCGACATTCAAAAAAGTCCACAAAGGAGAAATGCTGGAGAGGCTGCAGAGAAAAGGGAACCCTCCTACACTGCCGGTAGGAATGCAGTTTCATGCAGCCATTGTGGGAAACAGTAGGGAGATTCCTCAAAGGACTAAAAACAGACTTGTCAAAAGCTTTTGATCTCGGTGGCAGGGCGACCAGCTCCCAAAGGCCCAGGCCTCACCCCTTATTCTGCCCCAGGTCAACTGAGAAGCAGAAGGTCTGGGGTGACCTGCACTTGCCAGGCTGGTCCACCTACACAGGAAGGCCACGACCTGAGGGCCACGGGAGGTGCTCCCTGGCTGTCCAGCTGCTTCCCACCTCCAGGAGTTGCACCCCCTTTCCCAAACCCAGATATAAGCGGCAGCAGAGACTACTAATGTGGGGGGTGGGGCACCACGAACCAGGGCGGGGGACCGGACCTGCTTCAGGGTCCTAACAGGACATGTGGCCTGGATCTTACCCACACACCCCTCCCTGTGGCACCTCCCCAACAGTGCAGCCCAGGCCTCACCCACTGGCTCCCAGACCTGCGCGCCCCCTTACCTGACTGGTGAAGGCAGAAGAGGCGACAGAGAGTGGCGGCCCAGACCCCAGGCCGTGTCCCTCCTTGGGTAGCTGGTCCAGGAGAACCGGGCTCTCACCCAGCTTCCACTGCTCTGGGCGAGCTCAGACGTCCAGGCTTGCATACCTGCCCCGCCTCTGCTAGACCACAGAGGGCGAGCTTGGGCTGTGGTTCCTGCAATGTGAGACAAGGAGAGTGGGGCTGGGTGGGTGGGGCCGGGTGGGGAGGGGGGGCAGGGAGGGCCTACCCTGTGGCCTGCCCCTCCAGGACCCCAGCCCCAGTGCCCCCACCCCGCCACCGACTGGGTCCTGATACTCAACCAGTACCACCACGGGCCCTGGACCAGGCCACACTCCCCCGCCCCACCCCCCACCACCCGCTTGCAGTCCCCTGCCCAGTCACTACCTCCCCACCTCTGGCCAGGCCTGGTACCCGACCTGGACCCCCAAGACAAAGCTCCTTCTCCTTACGCTGAAGTCCCCGCCCTCACGCTCCCCACAAACCAAGCTGACCCCTCATGCCCCACTCAGGGTCCCCCCCACCATCTCAACATGATCCCCTTCACCCCTCACCCTGGGATGACCGCCCACCCCTCAGCTGGGTCTCCCTACTCCCAGCAGCCCTTCACCCCTCAGCCTTTCCCCCCTTCACCCCGAGTGCACCCCTAACCTAAGCTGACCCCCTCACCCCTCACCCCTCGCGGGCGGGGCAATCCAGGCTCCAATCACCATGGTGACAGCCACCAGGCAAGGATCCTGAGCATGTATGGGCACGCAGTCAGCTGTCCCAGGCTCAGGGGCCTGGGCAGGCGGGGCTGGAGGCAGATGCAGTTCCTCAGCTTGCAAAGCACTTCTCCCTGTCAGCCTTCTCCTGGGAGGCAGGTGGGGGGCTGTCTAGGGGACTCGGCAGCGGCAACAGCAGGACTGGGGCTGCCACATGCTAGAGCAGGTATCTGCTCCCATTTCTCGCTGTCACTGCTGCAGTCCCCGAACACTGAATGCACAGTGCCCGCCTCTCAGGAGCAGCATGACCGGAGGGCAAGCCTCCAGGGAACCTGGGGCAGCAGAGGCCACTACCAGGCCAGGCCCCTGGGGAGGTGGGAGCAAACCCACAGGGAGGCACAGGGCAGCCCCCTTCTCCTGCCACCAAAGCTGCCACCTCTGCGGTCTTCCTCACTCCCTGAACAAACCTCATAGGCCTCCAGAGAGCAGGCTGACCTACACATGTGAGTCCTGCAAACCTGGGGCAGCAGAGGCTGCCCCCAGGCTGGGCCACAGCGGACATGGCACTAAGTCCAAGGGCTTGCAGGGGGAAGCCACCCTCCTGCCGCCCCTGCCCCCTGACCACACCATCCCAGCCTCCTAGGAGGTGACTGACCTAAACACGAGGGTACAGTGAACCTGCAGCAGCAGAGGCCGCTCCCAGCCCCGGCCACAGGGGAGATGGGGGCAAACGACTGGCTCCTGAGGGGCAGACCCTCTCCTCCCACTGCCGCCGTTACCTCAGCTACCGTTATCCCAGCCCCCTGAAAGCACTGAGCCCATGGTCTCACCAACGTGGGCAGACAGGAAACATACCTCAACATAATAAAAGCTATTTATAATAAACCCACAGCCAGCATAATGCTCTACCAAAATTACTCTACCAAGAAAAGCTGAAAACATTTCCACTAAAATCTGGAACAAGACAAAGATGCCCACTCTCACCACTTGCATTCAGTATAGCATTGGAAGTCCTAGCCAGAGCAATCAGACAACAGAAAGAAAGCACAGGGATCTAAATTGGAAGAGGAGAGGTAAACCTGTCATTATACGTGAATGGCATGATACTACATATACAAAAGCCTAAAGGCTCCAAACAAAAATGACTAGAGCTAATGAAACAATTCAGCAAGACAGCAGGACACAACATTCAACATACAGAACTCAGTGACATTTCTTACACGAAAGGAATAATTCCTTTTAAAATTGCATCCAGAAAAATAAAATACTTAAAAAAAAGGAGTAAATTCCCTTGTTGAATAAATTCTGTATTATTTAGTGCTTCTGAAATTTTACCACACACAAAAAAGAGCCCGTCAATGGCCTTGAGATGCTGAGATTAAAAACAAACACCAGAGACAACCACAAAAAGATCTTCAGCACAAGATTGTTCATATTTAAAAATCATAAATACCTGAGCATTCTACTACCTGAAGTCATTTTGTTGGGGAGGGGGTAACTTTGGATCTATTAACCTCTGACATTAGGAAAAGGCTGAACACTAGTAAAATGTAATTTAGGAAACAAAATGGAAAAAAAAAATGCTCTCATCCCAGAAACACGGTTCAGGAGGGTAACAGACAAGAACTATGAGCAAGAACATGCATGTAAAGGAGTAGATGTGAGGGAACCCCAGGCTGGGACAGCAGCCTCTTCCAAGTTCAGCAGTTGTGTGTGACTCGTCATTGTGAATGACTACAACTCCCCTTTGCTTATTGCCTGCATTGCAATTATCCATATCACTGTTACTTTCAAAGCTTGATAAATTAAAGTTGTCTACCTACTTGAAACAAATAGGTAATTTGTAGAGAAAAGCATTAAGCTGGGATTACACCTCCCACTGTATCTTTTCTTCAGAACATGAACAGCACCAGAGCATTCCATTTGCTAAGTTCTATTTTCTGTTTCACAAATTCACCTCTAAGTGTGTGTTGAGCTCTTTTAGGAAACATATCCGTCAGTTAGCAGCGCTGTGTGTAACACACTGACATGATTCTATATAGCTGGGTAACTTACATCAGATCCCCGGCACTACTCAATGCGACGCCAAAGGAATGTTTCAGTAGGTTGAACATTTAATAAAAGTGTACCCCTTTCCTACTTTCCTTTTTCCAAATACTTTTATTAATTTGTGGGCTAAAATAATGAACCTTTAAGATGCCAAATCCTTTTGACTAGACACCAACATGACTAAAGACCATAAGTATAGGAATTATAAAAACTGCATTTGGATGGTAACTATTTGAATATGACTGTAAGACAAGATAGATACCACAGAAGAAAGGAAGTTTGGGTAATTAGTGGAAACCAGGTTATGAGTATAATCATTCTGGAACAGTGTGAATTTTTTTGAATAAGGGTAATATGAACAAATAAATTATTTAGGGCATACATGTAGTACATTTTTGAAGAATGCTCTATGTGCTAATTTAATTTGCAGGTAGAGTGAATTTTAGTTTCCCCTAGTGGATAGATTCTAATGGTCAGGTTTATTAATAATGAAACTCATTTAGAGAAAAAAGATGTAAAATTTGTATGAAGAGACAAAGAGAAATACTGCACAAATGGTCTCTTCTCGTAACAAATACCACTGTTCACAGGAAGGAAAGTTGCCCAATCGGCTCATGTGTCCTTAAAAAGACAACAACAAAGAAAATGATAGTGTCCCTCACTGATCTTTTCCAGTTGCTTTGTCCTCACGCAGTTGCAGTTCCCTGGGAATTACCGAACCTTCCTGGGCACAGACCTCAACCCTCTCATACTGCAACCCCTCCCTCCCTACTGCCACAAGCTTTAAATAGGCTCCTCTGAGCACAGGGCAGGTGGGTGAGGAAGAACTGGGACAATGATGGGGTAAACTTACCTTCACTGGCTCAAACACTAGTCTGTTTGGAGGATAGGGAAATAAACAAAATAACAAAACTAAGACACAAACATTTGTCTAGGGAGAGAATTCTGCGACAGTTGTGTGAGTAATACTTATTATAAAAAAATTAAAGTCTGCGGAAATTTCCCTAAGGGTGTGCAGAAGAGGGAGAAACATTTATTCAAATCTTGATGAGAGGAGGGAGAGTCTTGGCATCTGGGCCAAGCCTGCCCCCTTCCCTCCCTCTCACAACAGCCTAGTGTGATAGAAGGCTCCCCGGGATAGATGCTGCTTCTGCCCAGAACTCCCAGTGCAGGGCTGCTGCTCCACCCCAGTGCTGGTTCCAGCCTCCCGGGGAGCTCACGGGCATAATCTGACACCGCGCCCCCACCCCCACTCACAGGGGGAGAGTGAAGAAGAGGAGCTCTGTAGAGATCACTCCAGATTGGTGGGTGACAGTTTTCATAAGCAAAGGAACTTACTTATGAGGTGGCCTTGTTATCTTGGGAGGTCACAAGGTGAGTAGTTTTCCACACCTTCCTGCCAAACCTTGAGAGTTTATGTGGAAGTCTTAACTGGGTCCAGTCCTGCGTACCATCCAGGTAGTCTCAACACCACATTTCTGCCCCACGGCTGTAACCTGAGGGCAACTTCTGGGAATGATGAGGCAAGTGAAACTGCCAAGCATGGAGTTGGGGATAATTGGGAAGCCTTCAACTGCTAGGATCCAGCTCACAGGTCAACCATTGGTCACATCTTCTCTATGATCCCCTGCAATACCTGGAAGGAACAGGTCACCACTTAACTGTGGTCCCTGCAGCTGTGTTGCAGGAGCTCTGTTCCATACAACTATGAGAGAAGGGGGAGATCTCTTGCCCCATGAGCCTCTGTTCATCATGGGGAAGCCCTACCCTAGTGCAGTGGGCTGAGAACACTGGGTCCACCCCTGAAACCCCAGTTTGCTCATAGGTGGAGGTTCCATTCCAAATGTGGTGAGTTGAACAGACCAGCAGCTACCACCCCACTCAACACTCTACTTGCAAAACAGGATAGTGTTCCAAAAGAAGCAGGCTGCTATCTCCACCCCCAGCTTCAATGCAGAAAGGAAGAGGTTTGAACTAGGTGCAAATAAGTCTGTAACAAGACAGCAGTGCAAAACTTCCTTAGAGGGGAGTGAGTCTTTCAGAATACATCCTGGAGAAGTTCATGCATGAGGTTGTGTGAAAAACACAGGAGATCTTGGTACAGAGTAGTTGAGAGAGGATGCAGTGCAAGACCAGGCAGAAGTTACATACAGAGAGAAGCGAGAGAGACAGCTGGAAAGACGGATGGATGAAACCTCAAGCCTGATAACACCCAGTGTCTGAAAGGGGACACAACTTTCATTGGATCAGAATGTGGAGCAATCTGTGCCCCAGAGTGTTGCCGAAACAACAGAGGATCAGCCAGCAATTAATAAAAGATAACTCATGAGTGAAGATTCCAATAGTTGCAAACCACGCCGAAGCTTCATTGAGAGACTAAAGAAGGGACAAAGAGAGCTTTTCTAAAATCACAGTCATATCTAGTGGAACTGTAACAGGGAGACTGTGACAGCGCAAGAGTAAGATTATAGGTCTGAAGAGCAACGTCAGAGGGTTCCCATCGCAAGGGCAACAGAGCATCAAAATAGTCCATCAGTCACCCCAAAACGGGGAAGGAGAAAAGACTCCAGTTCTTGAGAATTCAGACGGGACAAGAAAGCGTTGTGTAGGGAAAGATTTTAAAGATTTATTAGCAAAGGGGAAGTACCTCCAAGAACGGGAAGTGGGCAGATCCAAGGGCCGACAGCAGTGGTCTTCTCTTGCCCCTTCTCTTATGCCCTTGCTTAGAGGTGGTCTCTTGATAGACAGCTCTTGCCCCTGGAGTGCTTAGTCACACTTGGCCCCCTTTGCACATGTCTTTACCCATGAAGCACACAGAAACACCCATGGGGGGGCCTAAACTACAATGCTAGTTATATTACAACGAGCACTAGGTCATGTCAGGTTAGGTCCTTGTCGCTATCACGCAGATGCGGCTGTCAGGTTCTAACCAGTTTCTTGCTGACACTCATTTAGAGAAAGTAAAGCCCCTTTATGCTGGAGGTGGGCATAATGCCATTTTCTGGACCCTCCTTCCTCTCCTCCACCTTATCTACCTGGTGTCCCCATTTATCTACCTAGCTAACACATCCAAGTCACTAAACAAGCAAGCAGATAAATAAACAACAAGGACAAAAATCCATGGATTGGGAGGAGTTCAGATCCTTGTTTAGAGTTGCTACAATGTATTATCTAACATATCCAGTTAGCAACAGAAAGTAAGATGTGCAAAGAAACAACACACAGGGAAAAGCAGAGAATAGAAGCTGACTCTGAAAAGTCCAGGTATTGGGAAAACTTTATACTAAGGAGGTAG